CCATGGTGCAATTACTCACACCATGGCCTAACTTCAAGCTACTGAAGTAATGTCAACCAGTTCACAAAGTTTCAACTCTTGTAAACCAGTAGGCAAGCCACTTCCAGCACACCACTAATTGGATGAGATACATTTTCTTCTTTTTAGTTTTCTTATTTTCAAAATGCCTTAATGATAATAGCCCTTAGGGATAGAAACTGGGTGGCAGGGAACAGGGATGGTGATAGACTTTTTTCTCTATATCCTGTTGTGCCTTTTAACTTTTGAATCATGAGATGTAGCAACAATTCCCAAAAAAAGTTACCATTTAAATTTTTTAAAGTTAAATTTTAACAATGAGTATTTGTTATAATTGTAATCAAAAGCAATAAATAGTATTTCAATGTTTCATATTTGGCTACCACAAGTATATACATATAACATTTAAATAACAATATAAGACACTGTATGTTAAAATGCCAAAAAGAATGGCACCAATTTTTTTAATGCATTGAAAGTTATGAAAGAAGAAAATAATGTCAACTGGAAAGCTACATGACGAGCAGACTGTGGACAAGCAGAGAAAAAGAAAAAGGATGACACAGAGATGCTGAGCAGACTAGCTACTGTGCCTGGTGTCTGTCCTCCTACTGGAAGACATCACTCTACTCCATGCCACCAGGGCAAGAGCTGCCAACCCCACAGTCTCTATCACTCTCTACCTTTTCCCTTTTTAATGAGGTTTTAAAATGGGTGGCATAATAGCCAGGTGCTTATGACAATGAGCTCAAATAAAGATAAAACTGGAATCAGGAACTAACATAGGGGAAGAGAATCAGTCTCACATCACCTCTAATCATATGAATGCTTACTTAGTATTCATGCTGTAGCAGGCACTCGGCTTCACAGAGCCTAAATTCACAGAGGGATAGATCCAGTGCTTGCTCTTATGGTTTCTACCAGGCAGGCAAGAACATGAGCTCAGAGGAAGCACCACAACCCCAGCCACTCCATCCTACCTCCCCCCAAGTATAACTAGAAACATGAGCATCATTCAGCATGGCATGCAGAAGAGTTGCTACTATTATGAACCATAAAGCACCTTATGGAGAGCTGTACCTGTACCTAATCACTGCAAGTTAGAAGTGACAGAGTTACATTGAAACAAACAATTTATACAGCCTGAAGAACATGGTCTATGTATCAGAATTTCATATAGCAGGCGCTACTGGCATACTGAGCAGGAAAACATGGCTGTACGGGACAGTCCCACACTTTACCAAAAAACTGCCTTCGAAGGGTGCAGTACTGCTTCAAAGACCTTCACACCTAGATGTGTGTTAATATAATCACTGCAGATCTGCTTTTTCTGAAGTTCATTGTGGTATGATGCCACAGCTGACATAAAGCCTTCTGAACTTGTTCTCTAAGGGCAATCACTACATTTGCCCTAAAAGACCACATGACAAATATATCTCTGGTTTCTGTAACAAGAATAGTTGCATTCTCTTGATTACTGATGTAGGTTTCTATTTTTTTCTTTACCCTAACTTTCAAGTTTCACTTTATTTTTTCCTGTTGACCCATAGATATCTCTACAAACCACATTGATTCTTTTGTGAAAGAAAGCAGAAAATAACTAAATGTTCAGGAACGATTAAACTAAAGAAATGTGTGAAAAAATGCAAGATAACTAAAAGAAAGCTTCAGCAACAATAACGGAGAAAAAAATGCAAGCGCTGTGACACAAGTCTGTCGGGGTGACAGGAGCCACAGCAATATCACAGTGAACTGGAACATCACTGGACTCAGTAATCAAAAGTGAGTTTGTGTCCTGGCTCTGCCACTAACTTGCTGAGTGATGCTGTGAAAAAACAGGCGGAAGAAGACTTAGTCCAACCATCTCCTGTAGGCACTGAAAGGAGGCACAGCACAAAGTTCAGCAGGTGGATTCTACAGGCATACTGAGTTTGAACCCTACTCCCATTTATTCCCAGGGAACCTTTAACCACTTATCTCTCAGGCTTTTTTTCTCAGCTATAAATGGGAATGAGAATACTGACCTTGAAGGATTATGGAATGTTTGTGGATTTGTTTTAGCTAGTATTTTACAAGCACATTATACAAGTTTACAAATGGGGACCCTGAGGTAGAGAGGAGTGAAGACAGGTATAAAATGTCACAAAGCCAATAAGTGGTAGAGATATGACTGGACTGCATGCCTTCTGTCTCCAGGTCTATACTCAGAAACACTACTGAATACTGGGGATAAATGAATGAATGACATGTAATGCTCCAAAAAACAGTGCCTGGCACGTGGTAAGCCTTTAATAGCTGTTAGCTTACTCAGCAAATAAGTACTTTACAAATCTAAATTATTTTCATATCATGGAAAGATATACTATATCTCAAATATGGACTTTGTTTAGATAAATGTTTTCAGATGTATAGATGATATAAATATAGAATGAATAAGTAAAACCAGAAATTACAGAATTAATACTAGATTTTTTAAATGTAACTGGAAAGTATAAGACTGTATGCAAATACTTGCATATAAATTTATTCATCATGATGTTATTTAGTAAAATTTAAAAAGGAAAATGAGATAACTATCCAAAAGTAAGGAATTGATCAAACAAAATGTAGCATATCTACACATGCAGACAAAAGAATTGGATTTAAATATGACAGAACTTCAACATTAGTCTTTTGGTAATATGATTTCTATGCGTTTTCTTATTTCTTTATAATTGACAGTTTTCCTAATTTTCTACCATGAAAATATACTTCCATATTAATTGGAAAAAAATTAATATTATTTTTAACTGAAACAAGTCAATATTAAGGTCTCCCTATAACCTTGACAAATCTTCAAAGGAAGAATAAGGAAGAGTCTGCCTGACAGCAAGTTGCCTGATAATTTCAGGTATTTCAGGTGTCCATGTCCTAACAATGTTTAAGGTGTTAAAAAATCAGAGTATTTTAATAAGCATTAGATGGGAAGTTTGCAGATTACAAGAAGTGTGCTCTTGGACAGTTAATGTTTTCAACCTTGGGGACCAACACAACAATGGACCATCTGGGACTTGTATGGTTAAGGGCAATAGACCCAGTGAAGTGCCAACCACACAGCCTCCAGAGGTGCAAACAGAACACCCAGCATGGGTTAGCTCAGAGACAAGAGCAGCTCTTGGACAGTTAATGTTTTCAACCTTGGGGACCAACACAACAATGGACCATCTGGGACTTGTATGGTTGAGGGCAATAGACCCAGTGAAGTGCCAACCACACAGCCTCCAGAGGTGCAAACAGAACACCCAGCATGGGTTAGCTCAGAGACAAGAGCAGTAAGAGAGGAGGTAGCAGTGGCTGTCACATATATATGGGGTGTCATCCGGAAGAAAGCTGGTCGAGTTCCATGTCTCTACAGGGCAGTGATAGAAAGTCACAGAGAAGAAAAATCTAAAGTGCAAGATAATAGGGGATTTTTTTCTAGCAAGTAGAGGTGATAAACAGTAAGCCAGGTTGCTCTGTAAAAGAACAATCTTTCACCTGTGATTCATGTTGCCTAAAAGTCAATGGACATGGACAGAGGCATGTCCACTCTGGACATCAAGGAGCTCACTCAATCTCAACCTCCTGAAGATAAGGTCAGTTCCAGAGATGAGGAGCACTTCAAAGGGAATAGCCCTAGTGAACCCTTGGGGATGGGATCACTCCATACCCTGCTCTGCCTTGAAAGCTGTAAGCCAGTTGCCAGGTGAGTGTTAGAATGGCACTCTCCCCTCAAACACAGACCAGGACCAGAGAGGAAAGAAACCCAAGTGTGGGGCTTGGAAAGATATCTTTGAAGCAAAAAATGGAATAAGATAGGGCCTTCAAGCCTTGAAAGCAAGCCAGATAATGTCCCTAGGAACCTTCCTAAGTCAGACTTACTATATTTTGTTTTCCACATACATCTGCTTATATTTGCTCTTTAGTATTTAGTAAATATCTGCAAAGTCCCAGGTTGCCTCATCTCTAATAAGAGAAACCAAATAAAAAGGTTTATGACCACATCTGGAAAGGATTATTAAAGCTTTGATATATGTGTAGTAAGATAGATGATAAATAGATTGATAGATAGACGATTGATAGACAGATAGATAGATGATAGACAGATAGATTATATAGATATAGATAAACTCTTTAATTCTCACAACAATCTATGAAATCGGTACTATTATCTCCAGTTTACAGATGAGAAAATCGAGACACAGACAGGTTATGTGACTTGCCCAAGGTCCTCAAGTAGTAAGTGGTGGAACCCAGATTCACAATATGAACACGAAGAAATTTTCATTGTCAGAACTGTCATTATTCTTTCAGGAAGAAATCGTTTTAAGCTATTTGGTATTATTTAGTACCAATTTATGTATATGCTAAGTGTCACAATTTACTTCCTTCCTTCTCCTCCTCCTCCCTCTCCTCCCCCTACTCCCTCTGCTCTCCTAATCATGCTTCCACATATGAGAGAAGCTAAAAGATACTAGACCACATTTTTATACAACAAACATCCAAAAATACAGCTGTACCTGCCACAAACTATGAAGTTAAAAAAAGCTATTTATCAGAGATTAAAATTATGACTACTAAACTCTAAACCCAGACAATTTTGTAAAAACGTAGAATATAGTATTTTAGTGGGTAACTATTCACAAATTATGATGTGTGGCATTAACATTGAGAAAGATACCTCTTGAGGAATTTAGTAATTAATAAATTAATTTTAGGAATAGTAACTTCTTAGCAACTTGAAAAGCAGAAACCCCTTCTGCTTTTAGACAATTATCCTCAATTAATTGTGTCTGTGATTTTTGCATAATGTAACAAAACCCTTTTGTTTCAAATCAAAATCTTGTGTGTGTGTGTGTGTGTGTGTGTGTGTGTATCATATCTTGCTTTTGCTGACTTCTCTTTAACGTGTTCATTTAGCCATATACAATGAAAACAGAGGAAACTCCAGCAGCCACACTTACCTGTGATCCAGGTGGTGAATTGAGAGAATAACTCCTGAATTTAAGTGGGTCTGTTTTAGGGTCACCAAAACAGTAAATTCATGTTTATTTCTCAGCTTCTGAAAAAACTGTTCAGCTGTAGCAGTGGATGCTTTTATGCTTCTGGGAGTATCTAAAAAAGAAATAAACATGCACTAAGAATAGTCTAGGATTTGGTTTTATAAAGTGCCTTTTATATACAACATCTTTCAAAAAACTTTATCAAGTAATACCAATAAATGCCAAGTTTCAAACTCTCTTAGTAAATTCTTTCAACAGGACTTTATGCTATATATAACAAAGGACAGTAAAATCACATGGATTACTGAACTTGTGTTTCAGGAATCATTTCACAAAGATGTCAAAAAATCAAAGAAACTTATTTGAAGAAGTACATTCCTAAGTTTTCTCTTTACATAGTCCCTATATCTTAGATGCCATAGTCACATCAATGACAACAATGAACAAAAAGATGTACTTCTTAGAATAGGACCTAAACAACCATGCTAGAGTCATTTGGCTTTTCTGACACTTCATGACAGGAAATTGGACTGAAATCTATGTACCACCCTCCACATGGGTGTCTTTAGCCAGTAGGCTTACTAAAAATAGAACTTTTAAAAGATCATTGAAATTAGTCACTCTCAGCCTTCTGTGCAGTGAATAAGGCATTAAGATCCAATTATCTCACCACATTTGTTGAAAAACCACATAGAGCTGAATTCCCATCTCCTCCCCAGGCTTAGAGAAAGCCTAGCCAAAGGAGGTTTCCCTGGGAGAGGAGGAACTTTTACCCTGCACTTCCACATGGTTTGGTCTTGTATGCAACCTCAGGACCCAGAGATTGAGAGAAACAGATAGGGACAGAAATGGATTTAGTAGACAGAACAGACCTACCATTTAAGTAATTCACTACGTGCTCTCCTAACCATAGTGTATGCAAAGGGTTGGTAAGAGTCAGTAATGAAGTTTGTGTTGTGATCAAATCATTCTCCTTTTTTCAATGCTTCAGCCTAGGTAAGTAGTTCTAAGTAAAAATTAGAAAAGACAATCTTTCCTAGTGCAAGACTTTCCCATGTATTGAAAAATATTTAGCACCCCAGGTCCCTGTCCAAGGAATGCCAGCAAGCACCCAACTCCTAGTCATTGCAACAACCCAAAGTACTACCATACGTTTCCAAACATTCCCTGGAATGAGGTGCAGAAGAAACTCAGTTGAGAAGCACAACCTTGATGGAAGAGAGATTATAAGACAAATCCAAAGTAAGATGTAATCAACTGGTCTGCATCCATCACAGAATACACAGATATGGAGAAACCCTTGAGACACCCATATAACAGAAGAGACAACCAATCCAATACTATGAAAGAAATATTGTTGTAAAGGTATCTACAAAGTACTAATGGGTCAGAGGCAAAAGTAGCCAACAGCATCTGGAGGGAAGGTTTATAAAACAGATGCATTTGATCAGAAGATCTGCAGGTTCAGAAAGGAGGGAAGAGCATTCCAGTCATAGGAATAATTTGTGAAAAAGCAAGAAGTATGAAAGGGTACCACATAGCTGAATGGGCGAAGAGCAGCCACTGCTGGATAGAAAAGCTGGACTGGATTAGGCAGGACACGCATTGTTTCTATCCCCATTATAAATTTACCCTCATGCTTTACAAAAAATCATATTTGCCACTGAGAAATGATCCCTCCCCGCTCTCAATCAACACTTGACGTGCCCTCTGTTAGAACTGGTCATGTCATGTTACACAGACCTGACCATCACTTATCCCTGTTCACAGTAACTGATTCAGGAACAGGTACCTAATCCTGACAATGAGTCAGGCCCAGGATATTCGTTTAAAGTTTTAGAAAAAATAAACTTTCTTGTTGGTACAAAGAAGCTTCCACATTCCCATTTAACATTCACAGGTAAAAATAATAATAATAACAAAAATCTGCAACTTTTCCTATAGTCAAGGCAGTAGTTTTTCCCAGGCTCTATCAGGGATAACAGACTGGGCACTTTTTCCTCTGATCCATTAGTATTTTGTAGCTACCTTTATGACAGCATTTCTTTCATAGTATTGGATTAGTTGTCCCTTCTATTATATGGGTGTCTCAAGGGTTTCTCCATGTCTGTTATTCTGTGATGATGCAGACCAGGTGATTACGTCTTACTTTGGATTCATCTTATAATCTCTGTTCCAACAAGTTTGTGCTTTTCAACTGGGTTTCTATATATTATTCTATATAATTCCTCCTTGCTCCAAAACTTTCAGCTTCTCAAGGAAGCATGCAAAATGTAATTTCATGAAAATGATTTCAACTAGTGTTAACTTTTAATTCACTCTAACTTATACAGAAGGGAATCACTCACAAACTCCATTACTTCATTTTAATTTAATAGATAAAAGCAAATTAAAATTAAATTATAAATATTTATTATGCTTCTCTTCTTTTCAGGTAGGTAGAGATTGAGCAGCATCCTTTGTCTTTCTGAGTAGGATGATAGATGGGGATGCAAATGAGAGAAATTGAGAAAGAATTACACTGAGTACACAAATGATGAACAGCCCGCAGAGAGATCCAAGGATGTGGCCCAGAAAGCTAGAGCTCTTAAAGCAAGAGAAAAGGAGTTTAAAAAAGTGTGACAACTGCCTTACAAGGAACTTTAGACAAAATATGCTCAGAGAAGATTTGGGGGCAATTTGTTGTTTGGAATGAATAGAAAACCTTCATTAAATCTCTCTATTATTCACTTCTGATTTTGGAGTCAGATCTGAGGAAAGTTGAGAGGCTATATTATTTTTTGTTTGATTTTTAATTTTGTTTTATTTTCTAATGAAATGATATGTAAAGATTGGTGTTAAGGTGAAAGGAAGAAAAACTCAAAATAATGGGTTAGGTTTGAATATCAGTAAAAATGTAAATCACTGTGGTTGAAAACATGGTGAAAGAAATTGTAGGTGAACATCATATTCTGATATCCCTAAACTATCTTTTCCAAATCAAACTTATTTTTTTGGCTTTGACTAATAAAGACATACTAGTCCTTGAACTGGTTGCCAGGCATGTCGATTAGGGAAGGGCCAAGTGAAGCATGGATGATTTGTATGGAGATCCTTTACAGTACTTGAGAAGACTTGCAGAGCAGAAACATCCTCCACCACACCAGAGTAGCAAGCGGGCGCTATAAGGGCTCTAGCCAGCTTGGACTTGAAGCTTATTCACCCATGCTAGGTCACAGTTCAGGATCACTTGCCTTTTCCAATCTGCCCTCCCAGCCCTTTATCTTCCTGTTTTGCTCCCTCTAAGCAGATAACATAACTTGCAGGAAGGAAGGAACTTCCAATGAACATGGCCAGCAGAAGCCCCATTTAGCTCATGCTGTAGTTACAATAATATCATCATCATCATCATCATATTCTTTTTTTCCATCCTGATTAACTAAGTTCATTGCACATGTGTTTAAAAACTGGGGCTTGCTCAATTTCTCAACCAACTCATCTTTGACAAAGCCTTCAACATCACTGGGAAGAGGGGAATCTATTTAGTAAATAGTGCCGAGAAAACTGGCTGACCACATGCAGAAGATTGCAACAGAACCCCTACCTTTCACCATACACAAAAATGAACTCTAAATGAATCAAAGACCTAAACGTAAAATCTCAAACTATAAGAATCTTAGAAATCACGGAAGACACTCCTATGGAAATTGGAACTGGCAACCAATTCCTATTCAGAACTCTAAATGCCCCTACCTTAAAAAATAAGATAGACAAGTGGGACTTCATCAAACTAATGAGCTTCTGCAAAGCAGAAGAAACCATCAAGAGAGCAGGGAGACAGTCCACACAATGGAAAAAAATATTTGTCAACAGTATATCTGACACAGGCCTAACATCTAAGATCTACAAGGAACTCAAATGTGCCAAAAGGAAAAAAACAAACACCCCCATTCAAAAGTGGACAAAAGACATGAATAGACGCTTCTCAAAAGAAGATATACAGGCAGCCAACAGACACATGAAAAAGTGCTCAGCCTCACTCATCATCAGAGAAACGCAAATCAAAACCGTACTGAGATACCACCTAATCCCTATAAGAATGGCCATCGTTAATAAAACAAACAACAACAGATGCTGGTGAGGATGCAGAGAAAAAGGAATGCTTCCACACTGCTGGTGGGAATGCAAACTAATGTAACCTCTTTGGAAGACAGTATGGCAGTTTCTGAAAGAACTAGAAATTGATCTTCCATATGACCCAGTAATTCCCCTATTGGGAATATACCTAGAAGAACTCAAATCATTCTACAAAAAAGATACCTGCACATGTATTTTGCTGTAGTTCTGTTCACAATAGTAAAAACATGAAACCAACCATATTGCCCATCGAAGCTGGACTAGATTAAAAAAAAATTTTGGTACATATACACAATGGAATATTATGCAGCCATAAAGGACAAACATATGGACTTCACAGCAACTTGGATGGATTTAGAGTCGATCATACTCAGTCAACTATTACAGAAATAAAGAACAGAGTACCATAAGTTCTCACTCATAAGCAGACCTTGAACAATTATAATTCTATGAGAAAGTGATTGGCAGTAGTGGGAAATTGTCAGGGGAGGGGGGTGGGATTGGCAGTTGGGGGAAACTGCTAGGAGAGGGAGGGCATACCTCATCAACAAGGATACCTGCATAATCAACATTTGTATACCTAACCCTGAATTGTACTCCACATCTTTATAATTTTTTAAAAAACTGTGACTTGCATGAGTTTTCCCTCTGTGTTGGAGTAAGGGGCAGTGTGAAAGGTCTATGGGAGAGAAAAAACTTGACTTAATTTACCATGGCGTTGGGATGGTATCATCCAGCACCTCCAGCCCAAGGGTCCAGGACACGGCTGGAGGTTTTTAAATTTCCTAGATATGACAGAGTACCTATAGGAAGCATAAGTCATGACTGCATCATAAATTTCAGTTCTCTGTCAACAGAACACCACCTGCCACCAAGTCTTACCTCACCCTGATAATATTTCAATCTATTATTACCCTTATAAACATCTTTTCAGTAATTCATTATGTCTGAGTCCAAGAAGGACTTGATGAGGACCTGAACTCTGCAAATAGCATC